ATCACATGACAAGCAGGACTGCTGTGTTCCGAAAAAAGCACGTGACCAAAAGAATTCTGGTGATTCGATAAGATCAAATGACCAACAGGATTGTAGTGAACAGAATGGATCTGAAAATGAGAAGGTGGCTCGTCCTTGTAAAGGCGATAGAGGAAAACTACTTCATGACGAGCATCAGAGAAACATTCCTGCTCAGCTGAACAAACCAAATGATTCCGTTCCTCAAAGATCTTCGAAGATTAACATTAACAAAAACGAAAGCAGTTGCCTTGACCACAATACCAAAATGACGCATGATTATGGGACCATAATTGGTTGCAGTGAAGAAAAAAGCAACGATCTGCTGACGGAAGGAAACTATTCTAACTGCAAGGAAGACATGCAAAGTAAAGATAGAAACAAAGAGATCGCGGATAATGTTCAAGGTAAATACAGAAAAGAGAAAAGGAATGCTCATGATCGAATGGAAAACACCAGTGATATTGTCCCTGACGGAGATATGGACAACTCAGATTTGTCGGGAAATAACAAGGATTCTAAACATTACGAGAAGGGACATGATGCAGATCATACGAAGAAACACGATGCATTCTCAACTGATGGTGGGGTGGGCGATGATTCGACCAATGAGGGAGAAAGAATGGATATTCATAAAAAAGAAGGGGAAGCTGATGTTGAGCGGGGGACGGGAGAGACGGATGAAACAAAAGAGGGAAGTGTTGATATAAATCAAGATACCGGTGATATTGCCTTGGAAGCAAAGGTGGAAGTTGTAAACGAAGAAGAATGGAAGAATGTGAAAAGAAAAAAGAAGCATAAAGGCAAGAAACAAAAGGACAGAACGTCACAAAAAGAGACCACATCGGCTGAGCAACAAGATGACATCTTTCTCCTCGAAGACAATGGAAAGACAACTGGTAATGAACAAGAAGTAGGGGATTTTATTAGACCTACAGAGGATACACGAGACATGTGGTTTGACATCAGTGATTTCCGTGTACAACAGATAAAAAATGAAACCACAGTACTTTCAAGCTCTGCAGCTTACATTCTTCTGTATGAACGAAGTTAATCAGTATTTTCCCTTTCTCAAAACACAATTTTTCATTTCTTTTTTTTTCAGCATTTTATTCAGATACTGCTATTGTCATTAAACAACTGTGAACAATAATTATTTCCAACCTGTGAACTTCAATATTTCTTTCTTTTTTTCAAGATAAAAATATTTTCAGTTGCTCATGTATATGTACATACTTAATTGACCCATCGCCAATCGCTCCGTAGCTCCACCCACTTTCTATGGCCATGACTACTGTTGCTACGTCCGTCAAGCAATCTAGTCACGGAGACAAGATGGCGGATGCTGAGAAGACGCACGTAGCAACCTTGCAGGATTTACCGCATGATTTTTCGCTAAATTACCTAAAGGAAGTAACGATAAGCTTAAAGTCCAAACAGCAGGGATACAAATATTTCGCGGAGGGATATTTAGAGAGAGTAAGCATCGCGAAAAACAGAAATCTTGACGAACTTCAAGTCTCCGCGAGATGCTTCAGGAGTCAGAAGAAAAATGACCAGCCGCACCTACTGCATTTGGATATTATACCTGGGAGGATAACATTGTCGGATTGTACATGTGTTGCAGGGTATTGTATTAATATTTATTTCAAAATATTTATGCACGATAATAGATTGATTTTACAATTATTTGTGTTGACCAAGGCCCGATATCAGCGATGTGTGATTACATTTATATTAATATATTGTAGGTCTAATGTACTGTAAGTGATCTCCACATATCTACCTACAACTGAGTATTCGTATTAATTTGCCACCTTTTCGTAGCGTCTAAAACACAGGTAAATTATCCTCGTCGACCACCTGTAGGCTAGTCGCGAGGGTACGCGCATTTGTTTCTTTTGAAGTGCGTACTTCTGTCAGAGTCAAGTTATATAACAGTGTATACTAGACTAAAGTCGATCAGGTGTGAATGGTCTACACAGGATTGTTATTTACAGTCACTGGCCAAAAGTATAGTCGCACGTCATATTTTGACTTTATATTTCAACAAACAATGATTTATTACCCCCCTCCTCTCTCTCTCTCTTCCAAGTTCCCATCACAATGTTCAAAAAGTTTTTTTATAATTTGCTAGACATTGATCAATGACACTTTTCCTTAAATGGAACTCTTAAAAAAATGAACTGAATCAAAATAAAAACTTTCATGTTTGTAAGCCTACAGCATTTACAGTTGTGGTTTTTAGCATTTTATTCACTCATTTATGAAAGTGCGTAGACATAAAATCACCATTGGTATTAAGAATAACTGTATGAAAAGGCACGAAAATGACATCTTTCACTCGCTCTGGGTATCTATCATCGGAATTACATACACCATATGCACATCTCTTAACCATGATAACTTCAAATCACTGAAAATACGCAAGCGGGTTTTCCTTCGCTACCGGTTGCTTGTCGGACGTAATGGCGGACTGTGATGCCGCAGTCTCGGGCTAAATGGAATTGTTTTTTTCATTGGTTAATATTTTCAAAAGGGGCGGAGTCGGCGATGGGTCAATTCTTAATGAGGGCAACCTCTGTACAATAAACTCTCCCCTTGTAGGAAAGATAGCATACATCAGTCACTTTCTATTTCATTTGTACATTTATGTATATAAATGATATCCGATATTAGAAATTATATTCACATTGCATTTTTTTTTAGAAATATCTTGATATACTTATCGATAAAAAGAGGTAAACTTGAGGTCTCTACTAGATCCGGAATGACTATCATATTTAATGTTTAGTGTTTTCTCTCTTTGCTTTGAGCATCGCTGCCTTTTTTGGACTACGAATATTATGTATTTTTCTAATGTATTGCCGCTCTTGAAAGCTGTTTGAAAGTGGTGAATAATAAGTTATTTTGTGAAAGTTTTATTTCAAATCCAAAAATAAAATCGCGATATCCATTTAAAATAGTAAATGATTCTATTGGTTTGTAAAGATTGTCCACGAGAAAAAGTGTTTTATAGAAATTATCAGAATTTATGAAAATGAGTGATATTTTTTACAATTAATTGTATGCTATATGAATACGTAGCAGGTGATGTCCACACTAATAGACTAGCCCTGGTCAACATTAAGCAGCTATTTCTGAGGTTGTGAACAGTTAATGCCGAGTAGTTAAGCTGTCTCTGGAATTTATAACCATGTAAATATTGTTTCAATTGTGTAAAAGAAATAAAGATGACTTTATTTACAATATACTTTTTGTATGCTGTTATATATTTATATATTTAAAGGATAGAATATACAATTCTTAAAACAAACAATAATGGGAACAGGCCCTTGAATGTCAAATCACATTCGACCATAGGTTGGGGATGCAGGAATGTTGCTATTTCAAAAATGGAAAATTCACAATAGGGAACTTGAAATCATCACACTTACCAAAGATGCTTGTGGAAAAACTGTCCATGCTTGTTTCGTATTTTTTGCGTACTTGATGCCCAATGCTGGAAGGTATACAAATATATGTTGGCAATAAATAGCTTGTTATTTAAAGACAAGACATCATCAGTTTACCTCACAGTAAATTGACGTTACTGTGACTTGTTTTAATAAGCTCTGTATATTTCTTTTCTAATTTTGTAGTAATTTTCACGAAATACGTTTCAATATATTTCACAACCATTTATTTGTACCGCCGTTAACCTTTTTTTTTTTTTTTTTTTTTTTTTGGGGGGGGGGGGGGGGGGGAAGAATCCTCTCCTAACAAAAATACGAAGTCGTTCTTTAAGTTTAAAATGGGGTATGCTGATGTACAGAGTGAAAAAATAAAATGTTCCTATTGAAGAAATATTTTAAGAAAGGGGTGTCGAAGATTAGCCAAAAGCTTTTTGTATTTCTATAAAACCCACCTACCATTAATTCAAATTCCTGAATAGACAGTCTCCGATAAGATTTGATAGTACTCTAAGTATGGTAGTAAGACGTTTGATTAGAAAGCTTGACGAGCAAACAAGACGTTGTATCGATTCTTATGAAGTTTAGGTATCCAATATAAACGGGGAAGGTCCGTATCCTCATCATAAACATATAATCTAAATTATTGTAATACTGAAACATGATTAGACAGTATGTCTTCTTCAGAAAAAAATGCATGATTTTATAGGTGGGGTTATCTTCGTTATCTAGCAAGCCATATTCATTTACATGCAGTAAATATAATATTTTCTGCAGACGAAGATAAAGCTGTTGGACGCCTTATCTTAAGGCACCATAACAAACTTGTTATGTCAATCTTGAAGTGTGGATCAATTTAACATCAAGATCGAGGACGCTGACCTGTGTCTTGTTTTTAGATTTCAACCTGCTTATTTGTTCAAATGATGTACCGAATGGATTAAATTCACTCAGAGAGCGTGAAACGTTCTTGTTTCACTCATTCTCTGGAATATATTGAAATTTGTATTCCGATTAATAGACCAAGATTTCACGATATTTAGGACCGTTCGTGAAAAGCTATCATAGATTTACATTTTTGATAATGTTGAAAATATTAATTTTCTATAGTGACAGTCGTTACATTGTCTATGTTGACTTGTATCACTCTTTTGTTTTCGTTTCTTCCTGTGAATTTGTAAGTCAGAAGTCAAAGAATAAGCAAAATTCTCCTTATTTATTGTTGTTTTGGTACTAATGGAGTTCACTAGTTTTTTTCAGACTATAAATGGAATAAACACGATATATTCAATATCAAGCACGTGTTAATTGTTCAAGAAACCAATATTTAGTTAACATCATATAAATATGCATATATATAGAAAATAGACTACTCCAAGACTGTCTAAGGGAGATAACTCGTACAGTCCATAAAGGCGTTTCAAAACGAGACTGGGCAGAAACGAAAGTTGACAGAAACGCAACTATCCTTGGAATTTGGAGTATACAAATGGCGCCGATTGACTGAGACGTTACAGCCCAAAAGAGCATATGTTAACGTTTTGGCTTGTTGTAGGATGTGTAGGAGGGGTCATCATCATCGTCATCATCATCGTCGCCATTGTTTTGTTGACATGCTCCAAACCAAGGGAAAAGAGAAAACATAGTATTCATGTAAGATTTGTTATGATGTTCGCTTTTTGTGTCATTTGTAAAATTATGTAAAATATGTTATAAAATCAATCAAAATCATTTATTTCAACATTTTATCGATTGTTCTGTTACAGCAAAAGTTGGAATGAAATCAACACTGTTGAAATCAATCAGCTTGGAATGTTTTACTTTTGTTTTATATTTCAGAATTCAGACGATATTGAAAATGGAAATGGAAAACGGGTATGCCATTTTTTAAATACGAATTGGAAACTAATGTGCATATTATATATAAGAATTATATATTAGAATCTCGACATCGTAAACACTACATTTATATCTCAAAGTAAGTTTAGATCAGTGAAGACAGCAGGTATAAGAAAATTAACGCTTTTCTCATAATTATTTTCTTAAATTCCGGAAATATTACAAACATTGTAGTTCTTCGTTTTTAATTTCATTTTGTTCTCTAAGAAAACTGTGTTATAATAGAAATACCAAAAAAACTGACGTCATATTCTACTTTCGTTTTCAGAATGTATTTTATCTTAGACAATATCTACATTGAGCTAGTGCTACACAACTTTTTTAAAAGTATCAACAGGACATCATAGGACACGTGATCAGTTTAATCATTCTTGAATAATAGTATAGCTTTTAGATATTTTTTTGAATTTCAATAAATCTAAACATAGTTAAGTGCACATTTATTTCTCCAACAGATATGCATCAGGAATACAATATTGGACTTCACTGATAAGCCAAAGGTAATCAAAACGGGAATTCCTAGTACAATACCTGTCAATCACAAAATACTCTGTAAGGGCGTTACTGTGCTGTAATAGTGCATCTGCCTGTACTGTGAAAGTATTTGCAACTGAAAATACATATTATCTCGATATGAGAAAAGTAGAACAACAATCAACATATACTTATATACATATAACATTAAAAAGTAATTTTGATGGGATATTGACATTTTGATGATGTCTAATATCTCTTTTTGCCAACAGACCATCAACCTAAAACATACGAGTAACTTTGGTGCGCTTTGTACCCAATATTGCTGTCTGATTTTGTCATTAAACAAAAATGATATTTTACGTGATTTTTTGTGTATTTTTATCAATAAAATACCAGTGGTACCTGTATAATATCGATGAGTATATGTTAAAGGTTATAGCTACAGCTGTACTCGAATTTCTCTATTTGATAGGGTTTACCAAATATCGGAGAAACTTGTTACGTAAATTCCATGGTTCAGGTAAGTCACGTGATGTAAATCTAAATTAGTGTTATAACTTCCATTGTTAAGATCTAGTGTTATAACTTCCATTGTTAAGATCTAGTGTTATAACTTCCATTGTTAAGATCTAGTGTTATAACTTCCATTGTTAAGATCTAGTGTTATAACTTCCATTGTTAAGATCTAGTGTTATAACTTCCATGGTTAATATCTAGTGTTATAACTTCCATGGTTAAGATCTAGTGTTATAACTTCCATTGTTAAGATCTAGTGTTATAACTGCCACTGTTAAGATCTAGTGTTATAACTCCATTGTTAAGATCTATTGTTATCACTTCCGTTGTTAAGATCTAGTGTTATAACTTCCGTTGTTAAGATCTAGTGTTATAACTTTCATTGTTAAGATCTAGTGTTATAGCTTCCATTGTTAAGATCTAGTGTTATAAATTCCATTGTTAAGATCTAGTGTTATAACTCCATTGTTAAGATCTAGTGTTATAACTTCCATTGTTAAGATCTAGTGTTATAACTTCCATTGTTAAGATCTAGTGTTATAACTCCATTGTTAAGATCTAGTGTTATAACTTCCGTTGTTAAGATCTAGTGTTATAACTTCCATTGTTAAGATCTAGTGTTATAACCTCCATTGTTAAGATCTAGTGTTATAACTTCCCATTGTTGTTATCTTAGTGATCTAGTGTTATAACTTCCATTGTTAAGTTATAACTTCCATTGTTAAGATCTAGTGTTATAACTTCCATTGTTAAGATCTAGTGTTATAACTTCCATTGTTAAGATCTAGTGTTATATGTTATAACTTCCATTGTTAAGATCTAGTGTTATAACTCCATTGTTAAGATCTAGTGTTTTAACTTCCATTGTTAAGATCTAGTGTTATAACTTCCATTGTTAAGATCTAGTGTTATAACTTCCGTTGTTAAGATCTAGTGTTATAACTTCCGTTGTTAAGATCTAGTGTTATAACTTCCATTGTTAAGATCTAGTGTTATAACTTCCATTTTTAAGATAAGTATGTACATTGAATGGTTATGATAATACAAGTTCGCTGTTTGAAACTAGCTATCCGAATAAAAATTTTCGATGGACATTATATTTTTTGTTAAAATTATTTTATCGATGATTCTTGGTTGTAAATTCATACATACATACATGCATGCATGCACGCACGCACGCACGCACGCACGCACGCACGCACGCACGCACGCACGCACATACACACATACATACATACATACATACATACATACATACATACATACATACATACATACATACATACATACATACATACATACATACATACAATACACACACACACACACACACACACACACACATACATACATACATACATACATACATACATACATACATACATACATACATACATACATACATACATACATACACACACACACATACCTACCTACATACATACCTACATACATACACATACATTCATATACATACATACATACATACATACATACACACACACACACACACACACACACACACACACACACACACACACACACACACACACACACACACACACACACACACACAAACACACACACATAGTTACACACACACAAACACAGAAACACATAATTACACACACACACACACACACACACACACAACACACACACGTTTTTACTTTTACACACACACACATACATACATACATATATACACGTTTTTACTTTTCTTGTCACGTTTTAAAGATAAACAGACATGTTTTCCTATCATTTAATTTTCTTATTGCTACCAGTTGTCGCCGTGAGAAGCATCACAGTTCTTCTCAAAATGAGTAAACAGTGAAGAATGATTTTCGGTTTTCTTGGTGAAACAGTGATGTCAATATGATAACCACTTTTCTTACAACTGATTGAATTAATTTTTACATTATAGTGTTTAGCATGGAGTCCATGTCTCAGGTTACAATTGGAAGATCAGATCAGGAAACAGGTACATATCTCCAAACGTAACTTTATTGAAAAATAAATTCATGACAGAATATAATTTCTTGAAATAAAACAAGTACATTGGTGTGCATCAGTTCATAAGTTGGTACTTCGAAATATAAGACGTACTTGTCAGACGAGGGCACAGGGAGGAAAACATGTTTAATTTCCCTTTGGGGTGATCGGGTGGCAAAGTGGTAACGCACTCGCCTTTCACCTAGCCGTCCGGGGATCGATTCCCGGAGTGGATGTGAAAAGGTATGGGGTCACCTGCCCGACCACGTGGGTTTTCCACGGGTACTACAGTTTCCTCCCACATTAAGACCCCTCGCGCGCTTCCATCCGAGCTAACAAGAATGATTTATATAAGTTGGAAAAACTTGCTTCGCAGTTGGTGTAAAATAAATAAAGTTTCTTATTTTAAAACATTTCTAAAATTCCATCTTGATGTTGGATTTGCTCTCTGTGTATTTAATAGCTGATTTGTTTTCTTTTGTTTCTGAAGAATTTTTCGCAGCATGGAAACAAAGTTGCAAAATCTCTGCTCACTGTCCTTGAATCCTACCACGATGAAGACGAAGGTGATGTCGTTGGAAAGAGCTTTGATTTTTGTTACCGAAGGAGGAATAATTTACTCTGTGACGAGTTATCTAAATTCCTCAGCGCCATTTATCATGCGTAAGTTTTAGTATAAATAATTGACAGCCACAGGATAAGTATATGGAAATATTCTTCTTTTCTATATATAAAATATATATATATAAACATAAAAACAAAATATGAACATAACAACTAATTGTGTTAGTTGCCAGGGTTATAATTTCTTTTAATAATTTGTTTTTATATTTATGTGTGACACGCAAAGAGTTTCTTTATATAGATATATATATATTTGGAGTTAAGTAAATGCAAGCCGACCGCATACATGTCAAACAAGCAACACCAATTCTAGTTTGTCATTTTAAATATTGTATTAAGTTTAATTTAAAAGTTACATTCATATTGGTAAATCAATGGTTTCTTATTAGCAATGGACGATTCAGTGCTGGAGAACAAGAAGACACCTATGAGTTCTTCAATACCCTCATCAGCACAATTCAAGACGAGGCTTTGGAACACATTCCGGTAAGGCCATAATTATTCTTCTGAATATTTTATATAATTTTAATGACAAAATATGCAAATCTCTTGAAAAAAATGAATGAAAGGCTCACGTTTGAATAAGCCATGAATCGACTTTTTTTATGTTTTACAGCGTACGGTTGGCGATGAAACTTGTGAGTATGCTAACCTATACGACAAATATTTTCCAATCGAAAACACAAAAAATGGAATATTAGCATTAATGAAATATCATTACTGCATTCTTAGAGATTTAACATCATCTAATTATAGATTTACTGACATATTGTACTGAGAAAAATGTCAAAGAGAAACTGAATGCTAACCTAACATTGTCATTCGGCATCTCAACTGTTTGTAGCGGTTCTCCACGTGTCAACTACATCTCATATACTTTTTAGTTTTTGTTGCTTACCTACAAATAATCATCAAAATTTAATGTCAAGTGATTTAATGTTTAAGATCTCTTTTGTAGATGACGAGCACGTAATGAGATATTGCGGCACTTATAGATTGTTTGGAGGAAAATTCATAACTACCTACTGTTACGAAGATTGTGGACATGTGAGTAAAGCTTCGGATCTCCAGGAAGACATAACCTCCGTATTTATTGTGTAAATGTAATTGAAACGATAATAATGATAATAACCTGATGATTCAGTATCGAATTTAAGTGTAGGTTTCAAATTAAAATAGAGGAAAAACTATATATGTATTATATATTTATTTTTTTTTCAAAAACCAACCAAAACGGTAATACTTATTATTCGTAAGAAAATTTAGAAAATGTGTCAACTTTAGAAGATGCTTGCTAAACCGTTCTTCAAGTTAAAGCATTATTTTTAATAGGAAGCAAAATTTGATTTTAATATACATGTGTAGGTAAGTAACTGGAAGTAGTTGTTACTTGAGGTAATGTTTACACGTGAAGTTTTGTTTCATTTGTGATTGTGTGGACAGCAACCTAACAGACCTGCATGGGTACATGGTTTCTTCCTGTTCCTTTTATCGCGTCTTTTAGTTTTATCGCTTTCTATTGATACAATACTGTATCTGATGACAGAGGAACCATGAGAAATAGAATGTATAATATTTTTGTCATAAATCTGAATTTCATTCACCTTATGTCTCTCTACGGTTTCAGGTAGAGCCTGTTTATCAAGCATTTACCAGTTTGTCTATTCCAGTCACTGCGGTATGTCTTCATTGGATTGCATTATTTATCTCCATACAAACTAAAAAAAAAATAATGTTTTTTTTTCCATATGAATGCAAATGGTTGAAATAGAAAAGTTGCAGACTAAAATAGAACCCTCTTTGTTTTGTTGCTATGGAAAAACCCATTGCTAGTACATATATTTACTGCAAATCACTTAAATTTTGCGTTGGATTTATTTTCGCGTTAATACGCGAGGAGAGTCGATCGCGAATTCAAATCCCACGCCATTTTGTGTACTAAAATAACTCCGGATTGTATCCACTTTGGTTACCGATATAGGAGTCTCAAAGCATTCATATCTCTGATAACTCATCATTTGCGAATTTAAACTCATTTCTAAATTAACGTTTGCGTATTCATGTCCATGTATTCGCAAAGATGTCTAAAGAGGTAAGTCCGCGAAATAAATTATTCGCGAAAATTAAGTGATTTACAGTAGTAATGAATACAAATATAGTTTTAATCCTTAAATCATTTTCCTTTCTGAAACAGAAACCAGATATTGGAGAAAGCTCTGTGATGATAATTAATGAGGATCAATTGGACAGGATGCCGCTATATCCAGGTCCAGATGCTGGAATACTGAAACATACACATACTAAAACAATAGATATATTGGTAAAACCGTCACTACAACTCGAAGACAAACTTCAGAGGAGATTATCTCTTTCTATGAAACACGAGGACAAGAGTTTAGAAGAAACCTGTGTTGAGCTGGGTCTAGAAACGTTGACAGGAACAGAGAAGATGATGGCATCAGAAATTTATTGTCGAAGCTGTAGAAAACAAGGGAGAAGTGGTATGCAATAAACAGAACACTATTCGTCGTACGATTATGATTTCGGTTTCAAAATTGTGTTTTAGAATATTAAGAGATAAAGAGTTGAAACAGGGATTTTATTTGCAATATTTATTTCGGAAAAGTAATACAAGTTACATTAAATATGTATAAAAAAGATTTATTGAATTTCTATCGAAACATATAATTACAGAAAAACTCATTTTATTCAGTTTTGAGTAATTGGCGTCTGATCCCAATAAATTTGTATGATCCTCTAACTTGCCTGATTATGTGGGTTTTTTCACAGGAACCGAGGGTGCATTGTACAAAACACTACAGATACTATCTCTTCCTCCAGTCCTGGTTTTGCAAATCAACAGATTTAAGCAGGTAGAATGCACATAATGATGGATATTAGACGTATTCCCAATGCTAACAACATTAAACCAATGAAATTTATATTCTTAAGTGAAATTTAATCAAATTTTTTTTCGATTTCATAGATGACCTTGTGTTTATCTTAACAGAGAGGTCACGAGGTGTACAAAATGACCGAGCCTGTATCTTACCCAAAGGTCCTTGATATGGCCAGGTTCTGTTCTATCGCAATGGAGGTAATCATTATTTATCTATTTATCTATTTATTTATTTATCTATTCATACTTGGTAAAGTGGTATTATCAATTTAACATATATTTACAATGTATGGAAATATCAATTCCGGTGTAGTCTTGGGCTGGTATTTTCATTTCGAAAGTTGGAATGTTACTTTGCCCGTCTTTGAAATGAAGAAAAAGGTAATGACATTTTATATCAAAAAATTGTTTTTATCTATCTCTTAGCAGGTTTCTGGTGCTAGTGGTAAACTGACACCCGGGGAGACATACTCCTTGTTTGGTGTGGTGAATCACCTCGGATCGATACAAGGAGGTCATTACTTTGCCGACATCAAAACGACCCAGCGAAATGTAGCGAACATACAGAGCCAGCTTCAAAACTACACCTGGCGGGATCCTGAAAGAATGGCCGACAGCATTCGTAAGCACTTGGAAGAAATTTGGCGCGAGATCAACAGATTCGAAGGTGACTCCAATGAAAAATATTTTGAGCAACAGCAATTATTGGTTGGAGATCGACAGCAGCAGTCTGCTTATCAGAATACCAAGGAAGGTTCGGACACATGGTTCCGTGTCAACGACTCATCTGTAGAGAAAGTTGAAGAAGACATTGTGATGCAGAGTAAAAATGCTTATATCTTAATGTATGAAAGAATGTGAGTTATTTAAGGTACTTGTAAAGGTATTTAAACGACTCATATAGACCTGGATCATATCAGTATGAGAACTCTGTGAAATGGATATCAAGGTATATTGGCATAAAGGTAGGGAGATAAGACTGTTCATTTTAAAGATCTTTTACCGATAATTATCCTTCTGTGGAGTGCTTGTGAAATTAATATCATTGATCATAATATGTTACTTTGAAGTTACACTGTTTACAGAGGGATCTTAAAATATTAGTAAAGAGGACATAGCAGAGCTCCGAGATCAATGCTCTCTTGAGAATGTAATATGATATATTCTTGTTACATGTATTATGCACTCAAAAGCTGATGAAAATGTCATTGTTTCAAGATCCCTCCCAAACAATGCATTAAAGTTTTCCCACTTAATTAACTCTATCTTCGCGAGATTAAAAGATCAGAAAGGCGTTCCTTTAGTTAGGAATATGGTATAGAATTAAAACGCTTATCATCTGACTCACTGAAATGCTTATCATCTGACTCACTGAAATGCTTATCATCTGACTCACTGAAATCATATCCATTGGTACCAGTTGTTTAGTTTAATGTTGTTTAATGTTGTTTAATGAGTTGGTTTGTAAAGATTTTTATCGATGTTGACAGATTGTAAATATACCTTGTTATTTCATCTGACGTACATGTTTCTAAGTTACTTAGAAACTAAACAATTGAACAACTGAACGGACTCGCATCAGAAAAAAATATTGATATTCTCTGATCTCAGTAGTCACTATTATCTGTATGACACGTCATCTGCAAGTCATACATTTAATTATAACCAAACATCTAAAAAAAATAGTTTATCATGTCTATTTTTATACCAATCTGAATAAAATCATTTTTGCTGCAATGATCTGAAAACAAATGTACAGTATTTCCTTCTTGTGCAAAGAAAGTAATAATGACTGGGTGATTTTTTTCATATACACATAATGTATTGCCCAATTTGAATACGAAAGACAAATATTCCTAAGTTCTCTGTATTTGGCAAACGTTATACATATGCTTATACAGCATACACGTATGCATTCCGTGTAGTAGATATACGCTAGCTACACATGTGTTTTTAACACACCTTTACACACACGTGCTCCATTATTTATAATGTTGGCTATTTTGATCCAAGTACAAGGTATACAATATATATATATATATATATTCGAAGTATTTATTATACTTTCTATATATAGCAATATCTACTATTAGGATGGTCGGATGGCGCAGTGGTAACGCACTCGCCTTTCACCTAGTCGTCCAGGGTTCGATTCCCGGAATGGACATGAAACATAAAGGGTCACCTACCCGATCACATGGGGTTTTCACGGGAACTCCGGTTTCTACCCACGTTAAGACCTCTCGCGCCTCTCTTGCCAACAAGAGTGATTAGTTTAAGTAAAATTAACTTGTTTCAAAACTGTTTTGAAATAGATAAAGTTAATAAATACTGGACTTGTACATTAAGGACATATAACATCAGATTTCACAGGAGAATCTATCATTGAGTCTGATCAAATATTAGAACTGACTATAAAAAAAAAAAAAAAAAAAAATTAAATACTTGGGTATCAAAATCCATTTGTTTTTACTTCGTATCAAATACATATTTGAGAAGAAGATTGTTCAAGGATATGGAGCTACGAAGACGTTATTCAAATTACTACTTAGATATGAAATCAGTTGTAAAACATCGTACTGAATAAGAAATCAAACTGCATAACTTATCTATGTTTTAATATCAAAGTTCACCTCATGTAGGCGAGAGGTAAAAACGACAGGTACACTACAAGTATACCACAAATATAAACCTTCTCCAAATGTTCGTGTGAATATAGAAGTGGTGATTTTATATGCATTTTCAACGCTTTTGTTTATATGTGTTTATTTGTCATGATCGTTTATGTGATGAAATGATTTATTAATTTTTTGTTTTGTTTATTTTTGATGGAAATATCTTGGATTTAATATATATAACATATAGTTTTAAATCCTTACTTCTTTTATTGATAAAGGTTCAGTAGGTCATGTAAATACCATTCGTTTTAATATAAAAACAACATACGTAATTAGTATAATGCATTCTTATTTACAAGCAAATGTTTACATTTATAGAAGTCGACTATTGCACACGCCCCGAACAGAAGTAAAACGATACGAAAATTGTATTGTATCACTTGACTTTGGAAAGAGTACTGTGACGAAATGCAATATGTTATCGTATCCGGTCTGCATCGGTTTCCGGATAGGTTCACTGTATCGGGTCAGCTTAACAATATCGGGATAGGTTCACTGTATCGGGTCAGCTTATCAATATCGGGATAGGTTCACTGTATCGGGTCAGCTTAACGATATCGGGATAGATTCACTGTATCGGGTCATCTTAACAATATAGGGATAGGTTCAATATATCGGGTCAGCTTAGTAACATCGGGATAGATTCACTGTATTGGGTCAACTTAACGATATCGAAATATGTTGACTGTATCGGGTCAGCTTAACAATTTCGGGATAGGTTCACTGTATCGGGTCAGCTTAACAATATCGGGATAAGTTCACTGTATCGGGTCAGCTTAACAATTTCGGGATAGGTTCAATATATCGGGTCAGCTTATCAACATCGGGATAGGTTCACTGTATTGGGTCATCTTAACAATATCGGGATAGGTTGACTTATCGGGTCAGCTTAACAATATCGGGGAAGCTTCACTGTATTGGGTCAGCTTAATAATATCGGGATAAGTTCACTGTATCGGGTCAGCTTAACAATATCGGGATAGGTTCACTGTATCGGGTCAGCTTAACAATATCGGGATAGATTCACTGTATCGGGTCAGCTTAACAATATCGGGATAGATTCACTGTATCGGGTGAGCTTAACGATATCAAAATATGTTGAATGTATCGGGTCAGCTTTACAATATCGGGAAAAGTTCACTGTATCGGGTGAGCGTATCAACATCTGGATAGGTTCGTTGTATCGGGTCAGCTTAACAATATAGGGATAGGTTCAATATATCGTGTCAGCTTAACAATATAGGGATAAGTTAAATATATCGGGTCAGCTTAACAATATAGGGATAGGTTCACTGTATCGGGTCAGCTTAATAATATCGGGTAGATTCACTGTATCGGGTCAGGTTAACTTTTTCTCGGGATAGTTCATTATCACTTTATCGGTGTAGAATAATTTGAGATACTTATAATATGCAAAGCATAAAGGGAATGTTATAGGTATCAGATCATCATTGTTTTGTAAACAAACTTAAAATGAATTTCATATTATCGAGATCTCAGAAGGAATTTTGTTTACGACAGGTAAATATGTATAACTGTCTGCTCGGGACGATTTAAAGGCCTTCTGCTTTTAGATACACTATGCAAACAACGCAGTTTTATTTGTGTTATTTTGGGTCTACAAATACAGGTGAGCACAACTAAGTCATTAAAGTCTCAGTTCCACAACACACACAGTGTTAAAAATAACGCTTATCTCATTGATTTCAGCGTCTATATACTTAGACAGGAATTTAAAGAATTCATCCTGAATAAGGAGTACTGAAAATCTCCACCATAGTAATCTATTTTTAATTTTTATGCATGGTGTATGGCGGCAAAGCATTTCGTCATCGGGAAATCTTCTTCAGCTGATGTAAGTGTTTTTGTGGTCCATTACCTTGATAAATATTCTGATCAAGTCATATTGAAACATGTAATAAGAAAGATCGATACATAGATAAGGGTGATTGACAAATATACACGACTGAGTAAATTGAGACGGCCATCTTAATCTTTTACACACGTGCCCCTTAATGTGTCGTCAATAAATTGAGTAAACTTGCAATCATGATAGTTCATAAATCTAACTAATATGGCTGATTCAAAGTGTATTGGTGTGATTGGTATTGTGTTATCCTTACAGACACTAAAACTGATTATCATAACTGACTTCAAAACATATAAACTTTGAGCATTTGATAATTGTTATATACTGAAAAAGGCGCTGTTAGAAATATCAGCTTCAACTGCAAATTTGTAAGACATGTTAACAGTTTCGTAATAAATTTTCATTGTCATATTCTATACTTTCCTTTGTTTTTTTAATTACATTTTAAAACACTGAAAATAATTAATACACATTATTATAATAATTAAGCTAATGTTTCTGCTGGTTACGTCGGTGTATATGATGTAATCATGTGTATGTACACGTGTACAAAATATAAGACATGACTGTTACACTGGTGTCTCGCACTCATACATAAGCATTTAAAACACCACGATTATAGCCCGAACAATGTTATTCGATACAGGTACGGGAAATCTAAATATAGCGCTAACGCAATACAAATATCTATTTATTGTCATAACGCTCCAGTGATCTCTATGTTAACTTATTAGGGAAACGGCAGGCTAAACATTACTTAAACATTGCAATAGCAACGACCGCACCAATGGGGCAGTGTTTTGTAAGTATTAGTGTTTATTTGCGTAGTGATTGGGATGTTTTCGATATACATATATCAATTACGTTTTGGCAAACAATCAAAGATATTAATATTTGCTAATAACCTTTATAATGGATAGATAAACAGACACACAAAGACTTGAAAATTACCACATGTTTTATTCACGGACATGATGTAAAAAGTGTTAAGACAGATATATTGGTCATTATATACAAAAACCTACCTGATAGACGAGTGTGGTAACGTAAGTCTCGAAGAATTAATTAAGTTTTTTCATTGATAATTTAAACGTTGCTTTATAATGTATGTCACCTTGATTGCTAAAATTCATATTTATATGATTCGAAAGAAAAGATAAATGGATTATTATATCAATTTTCTCATCTTTAAATACATGATAAAATGTTTCGTTTAAAATGTCCTGCAACATTCAACATTAATTCACACAGGAATTGTTAATTCCTGGAATTTTTCATTGAAGAGGGTAGTTTAATCTTGTTTTTCCCCTCAGGATGTCAGGAATGGAAGCACAAAAGAAGGATGAAGCAGGATTAGCGATACCCAGGGAACAAACACATATTCTAAGATTGGTCATTTTTCTTAACGAGCTGGGATCATTGGCCTTGAAAGAGCGTCTGATATATGAAGTGTTCAATAATTATATACAGAACAAAAAAGCTCACCTTCAGAACAAACTGCCACAAGCACAATTTGATAAACTATTCTCCTGTCCAGCATGTCCTCATTTCAATAAGTTAGATCCAGACACACTCTTGCTCATCAATACCATTGTATTTAATCTTCCGCGTGTATCAGATGGAAATGCTGCTCTTCTCAAGTCCCATTTGGAGGGTGAAGGTCTCGTCGTGTTTCTCAGTGGTCATTCAGACCAAATTAAGTCCAAGAAAGTACTAAGTAAGAAGCAGCTAGGTTACCTGTTTCCAACTTTGCTATTTCAGAAACTAGACATAACACTTCTGAGTTTTTTACTCTTCAATCTATTTGATATAAAGCCAACATCTTCATGTTTTGAACAATTACCACCTGAGCACCATACTCATATTGGTGATGATATTTTACGGCTTCGGTTGTATAGGAACAAAGTGTCTCACATAAGCACTGCTGGTTTGAACCAAGAGAGGTTCGATACCTTCTGGAAAGACATTTCTGGAGCCCTCATTCGTCTACTTGGTGTTGAATGTAAGTCCCGCCTAGATGAGGTGAAACATAAGAGTATAGACGGTCGTATGCTATCCGAATATCACCAGTTGATTAGTCAATGGTACCAAGACGATTTGGAAACCAATAAACATCTCGACGAAATCAGGCGAGCAGTTGTTGATGTGGGGAAAAGTGTTGGCCACCGAGAATACCAGCAACGCATTTGGATGAAATCCCTTTTTGAACAGGAAATGAAGAAACGATTGGAACCTTTGCTCCGAAAAATTAAACTGTGGTCAGGTAAAAATTGAATAATATATAATTAATTATTGAATGGGCTTAACTAATTTCTACTTAATCTATTTAGGTGACACTGGCAGCTTAACTATTTAAAATACATTTCATGTCAAACAAACAAAAAATTCAATATGAATATATTTCAGCGTTGCCTCCTTGTCCCGTATTTAATGTTATGATATGCTATGTATTATATTAAGTCCAAGTTTGTATCAGTATGCATGTTTCTGTTTTAGAAAAAGGGCTGATACAGACTGGTGTTGAATCCTTTTGTCTTAATGCCTATAAAATATCTAGAAATTTAAATTGAATTCAGCCATTACTATCATATTACAGACCAAAAACACACAGAGGAACAAGCACAACACGCCTTACTTTTCAAGAACCGAACGGACTTATTACGAGCTTGTCAAGTCTTGGAAAGGGATGGCCTCGACTTCAAAACATGTTCAGGTTCATCCTTGAAACGAAGTGCAAGCTCTATAGAGCCTGGACAGAAACCAGAGAGATGGGCTAGCAAAACACATGGAAAGGTAAAGAATATGTGTAAACAGGATATTGATGTGCATTAATGATGTTTAATTGGCTATAATCTTATAATAAATGTGAATAGCAGAATTGATATATTCTTAATAAAATCATTAAGACAATTGGATGTGTTACAGGCAGGCGGCGAATCATGTGTTTCTAAATGTGAAAGAAGTGCCACAGCACAGTGTTCTAGGACTGACAAAGGGAGACGCCGCTGGACAGGGCCAATTCTTTACACTGGAAGGGTAAATTAGTAATCTATTTATTTATTAAGGAAATAATACATAAATACTCTTACACTGCAAGAGCCACGAATTCCGTTAATATCCGCTATGTGCAGAGTTGATTTATGTTCATTTTGGTTAATTTAAAGTGGAATTTGTCATCATATCTGTCAAGATATGAATATTATGTACAAACCTTATAATGATTTTCTTTACAATTTCTTATCAAGTGCAATACCTCGTTCGTTAACAAATGTATTTTACAATGTAATTTCTGTCGTCTATGTTATACAATTTGTTGCCAGTTTTTAATATGAATCGTAGTTAATAATTTGCGTGGATATAGTTTCTTTTTGCCACTCTGATAAATGATTGACTTCATACATGTGATAATGACTTTTAAATTTCTTTATAGCGTGCTGATCTTCAACAATCAGAGAAAACTGGCACATCATCCGATGCTGACTTTATATGTAAAGTAATGGTAGGTATGTCCTTCACCACGAACAAATTCTACGTAGGAACTATTGATGCAGATTTGTTAGGAAACTTTTTGTTGTGATGATACAAGGACTGTCGCAACTTTCTCTCTCCAATTTCAGCAACACACACCAACGTCATCTTTAGATGCTGTTGATCTTTACGCACTGGATAAATGCTCTGTGGTCTCGGGTGTGGTAGACTTACCAATGCCGCGATATGATATTACCACCAATGGTAGCCAGTCATCTAGACGTCACTGCCAGCGAATGAACAGTCAGATCATTGGTTACGCAGCCACTGCCAAAAGTACAAACCAAACCATAACAGAAAGTGACAAGTACAGACGGGAACAGAAACTGGAGAGAAGGAAGCTTCGACAGGTAAATACACGTGATGAAATATCAATTGTATTCATATCTTGAAACTGATTCATTTCTATGTTCCTTTTATCAATGTTTTTGCCTGATATCTAGTATTTAATTATTTTCTTCAGATGGAAAATGTTGATTTTAAGGAAAAGCCAGAATATCAACAAGGAGGAAAAGATCACAAGAAATGCTTTACTCGGCCAGATACCCCTGTACCTTTCAATTGTACCCGTTTTAAAACGTCCGACACAAAACCAAACAAAAAATATGTGCATCCTCCCACAACATCACATGACTTCATTGAATCACAAGAACCCGAAGAGTTTCATTTGCGACAAGAAAATAAGCGATGGACCACTTACCCGGTAAGAGATATTCATTGAAAATCTAACAAATGTGGATGGTAAGCTGTTAATTAAACCTGATAGTTCCAAGTTCTCATCACAACTGCATTTCTAACAGTTCGTTGGGGAAATTGTTAGGTGTTCTTTGTACCCTCATTGTCTAAGTGTAAAAGATTTATCTGGACAAACACCAAATGTAGTTAAAAATTAATTGATTTGTGAAACGCATTTTGTTAAATCTTCCTTGGTATCATGATATTTATAAATAGATATAAAATGGATACTCAACTATGACTGTACAAATTTTGACAATATATAACCAAACTTTCTAGTAAACAGTTGAAGTACTTGTCCCTCTAAAATGAGTGACCGAAGACAACAAAACACTGAAGCAAAGTATTGTTTTCCTTGGAGGTTCAGGGTGACAACGTATTATCCGATACTAGATGTGGCGATCTAGGAGCTTTATGATTAATCAGCATCATTCTGAATCACTTAGGTACGCCATGACGTGAAAACAGGTAACATCAGCAGAGACAGGCGGAAGAGCGATAGTGACGTCACACCGAAGTCATTCATCTCCATTCAGAAACAGATTCAAGATAGATACGGAGGAGAGGGTCTAGATTTCTCAGAGTTTACAGAGAAATCGTCAATATATTTGGTATGCATGAATTGTTAATGATTAACTTCGAATAGACGTCCGTATCAAACAAATTAACATATTTTTGAAATATATGGATTTACAGACGAACAAAGGAACACATTATTTGGTACATCAGCACTATTAGGCATGTCGCTAGCTTTTCTTATCTTCATTTTGCTACTGCATATGTATAAAATTCGATATAATATAACTATAACTTGATGTTTAATTTATTCATTTTCAGAAAATTGGTCATATTGATGAAGAAGACGAAACAAGCAACGAGCCAACAGTTCAAAATCAGCAGTCACTCACAATGACCGAGACAAGCCAAAAAGACATAAAACCAGATATGACAACTGCAAAAGGAGTCATGTCAGTTTTGAAAGATTGTTTTTCAAAGCCGACCACCAGACCTTAGTGGCCATACAAACTCAGCAATGCGTATAAGCATATCATTAAAGCAGCATTTTTCAGAATGTACAAACAGCATTTCAAATGATTACTGCCAGTGTTGACTAAGTTATTACAGCTTATTGTTTAAAGATTTTAAAGCTGATACAAAAGTCAGATAATTACTAACTCGTACTAGTCGCCGATATTTTTCGTTCGGCAGCTATCAGTTGTTATATTAATATGCAATGTTATGTAATATCTTGTTAAAGTGAGTTGTAAAACTTTTAAATATGCAAAACCGTGTTGTTGTTATTTATAACGTATTTATCTATATTTTTTCTTTAACTGAATATCTATAAATAGTATCATGCGTCGATACTATTGTCACAGAAGAAAGTTGAAAACATCATCACCCAGAAATCTTGATCGTTGCTTTTAACGACACGTCACATTGTACATATGTCAGAAAGTCTACAAACATTTACATATCATCGGAAGATATGAAAAGGTCAATTAGATACACATTGGTTTCGGATGATTGGACAAATTGACAAAAGACAGGTAATTGAATAGCACCCCTGAATACGACTGAAATGCTTTATATGGTGTATGAATGCTGTCTTCATGGTACAGCTGTTTAGCCCCTCGAAACTAGTGGACACATTTGTTTAAGTCCAGGAAAACCGTAATCGGCCTATACTAGCGAATTTCAATTTCCTTCACTCTCATTCTCTCCACAAAATGATTGTTCATACCAATGAAGAATGGAAATCTTTGCATCGTAGTGTGCATCATATCTATAGAAAATATCCTAGTTTTTCTGCTGCGATGTTTATCGTATCTAAAACCTGTATTTGAAGACTAACTCAAATTTAATTTATAATGGTATAAGATAACGATATAATTATTATTATTTGAAAGACATTTTATGTATTCCTGAAGTATTCGATCTAAATAAGATATTTCCGAAAACAGACTAAAGAGTCTTGACCTGTCGTGCACTTACATGTACATATAAATACATGTTCCCTTTCATTATTTAAAAAAAAATCATTACAATAAATCTTTCAGGGACATTTTGATATTTGTAGTCCAATTAATTGGCATTTGTTTACGTTAACACTGCTATGAGGTTTTGTCATTCGCGTTAATATAATATGTAGTCTGAGTCATATTTACGATGGTGTCACATGCAAAAATAGAAATTCGCCATCATGGATATGAAGGTGACCTTGTCTCGTCCGACGATTCATATTTAAATAAATTTGCATATTGTTGTTGTAACTTATGATTTTTTAAAAAATTAAAAGCTTTTTTTGAGGGGAAAATCTAAAAAAAAAACTTTCGTTCATCCCATTTAAGTATATATTTACAATTCGTTCATACGAGGTTAATGATAAGCAAAAACAGTGTCAAAATTGCATACCAATACATGAATATAAAATTGCATCTGTTGTCTTTTTAAGGTCCCAATAAAACCGGTTCTGAATAACATTCGTCAAGCGGGAGTCAGGTTTAGGAAATCCCCTCACTAGTTTGCTCCTGCAGGTTATCAGAGGTTATCTTTGATAAAACAGCCAGAACGAGATAAACTGGGTGGCTCACTAAGTTTTACTATTGTTATCAGGTATAGGACATATAGCGTGACGAACAAAACACTGAAACCTGTATCCTAACCATATATTCCCATCGGTACAAAATATAAACATAGTTACACTGAAGCGACACAGTACAGGGTGAACACCTCGTCTGACAGGATTTAATGAAATTCTGACAACTGTGTGAGAGAAGAGATGACGTTTCTCTGCTACATAATGCACGCGTTATAGGCATAATAAGTCCCATGTGAATTAAAGTGTACATCATGGTGTAAGGAGGAACTCATGGACAGGTAAGTTTACAGTTCTGAATAATCGTTTCTTAGATATATAACAACATTAGAAATAACGATCGAGTCTCAGTTTCTGTGTACATGTAGGTTATATATATATATATAAATATATACACGTCCGATATGTTGAGGTAGAAACTCTAACAATTGATGGCATCACAGATATGTTTTAATTTCGATGTAAGACAGGACGCTAAAATAAAAAATTACGAAAAAAAATACATCAACGGAATGAAACTTTATACTTAGTATAGAATAACCTGTAATACAGTGATAGTATAGGTGCTGGAAATCTTAAGCGAAATACTGTTTTGAGAAATTGTGTTATGCCAGGTTGTAATGTCAGAATAGTTCGGATTTCGTTTTACATTTTACTTTTTACGTAAGTGTCGTTTATATAGTATCAGAAGCGGTCTGATGAACACTGGATCATTTCTGTAAACAGGACGTGATTGATGTATGTGTCTCCACCACACCTGCTACTGTAACTAATAGAGTCATATACTTAAACGTAGATAGGGTACATCCCAAAGTAGCTTAATATACCTGTGTTACCTATAACAGTGGGCTCTGATATCTCCATCAGTCGGTAAATGACTTCACACCTAAAGACAGACGTCAGGTTTGAAGGTCGAACAAAAATCACTGTAAAACAATATACTTTCAGGGGATAACATAGGATGGATTTTCAAAAATTTCCTGGATAAATTTTGCTCACAAAATCCATAATCTATGTTAATTTGTTTTCCGTTTATCATTTTATGGACATATAAATTCATTGATTTAGAGTACCCGTGATTTAAACAAACCTAAATCCATACGAAATTAATTATTTGACAACAACCGATTTCGTTCTACCTTTCGTATGATTATGATTAGACATCATTCAGTAATACCTTTGACAAGAGTTTTGTAAATATATGCAGACTAGTAGGTAAAATGACGAGGTCACTATAAGTCAAAGTAAATAATAAAGACCTTTGAACTGGTTTTCAGAGTTTACGATTCATAATGAAACTGCTACTCTGAAAAGCTATTTAATATGTGATTATTTAGAAATCAAAAGTTGGCAGACATTTGATAATGCTGTTTTTGTAGAAAAAGAAAAGCGTCACAGACTAACATTTATTAAAATGTTCCCGTGTATTTTACACCACAAAGGCTTAAAATATATTGAATGAAACGCTGTTCTATCACACCTGCAATTTCACCTGATGATCAAAGCAATATGCAACCTGTAAAAATGACAAATATTAAGTGCACATAAATTATCTTATTGTTGCTGCTATTGCGCACTGAAATACATACATACATATATATATATATATAATGAAAGCGTTTAGCATCATTGAAAGAAGTAGATTTGCGAGGGAAACGGTTGGATACTGTCTAAACGGTTATCAGTTAGTGTGATAGGAAATATGTACAAGGTAAATGATTTTTATATCATCTAACTCGATTTTAACAAATGAACTGTGTGTAAGCAGGTTTGATACCATATAATTAGTTATTGATTAGTAAACGGTGTGTGGGCGATATGTGAGAGATAAATAGTTTGGTTTTATCTGACTGGTTATTAATTAGTGCTCTGTATGTGGGCCATATGTGAGAGGGTAATAGGTTGAAATTGTCTAACTAATTATTAGTTAGTGCGTATGGACCATTTAGGAGAGGTGAATTGTTAGTGAACCGCGTGTGGGCTATATGTGAGAGGTGAATTGTTAGTGAACCGCATGTGGGCTATATGTGAGAGGTGAATTGTTAGTGAACCGCGTGTGGGCCATATGTGAGAGTTGAATTGTTAGTGAACCGCGTGTTGGCTATATGTGAGAGGTGAATTGTTAGTGAACCGCGTGTGGGTCATATGTGAGAGGTTAATTGTTAGTGAACCGCGTGTGGGCCATATGTGAGAGGTAAATTGTTAGTGAACCGCGTGTGGGCCATATGTGAGAAGTGAATTGTTAGTTAACCGCGTGTGGGCCATATGTGAGAGGTAACTTGTTAGTGAACCGCGTGTGGGCCATATGTGAGAGGCGAAATGTTAGTGAACCGTGTGTGGGCGATATGTTAGAGGCGAAATGTTATTGAACCGTGTGTGGGCGCTAAGCTTAAGGGAAATAATTCTGCACGCTGTATTGATAACTTTTTCAGATAAATTCTAATTTCGTATTTCGGTAAGTAAAAATATTATGTACGCTGCCAGCAGTGAAGGACACCCGATCGATCTTTTGTCAAAATTAACACCTACTTATACATAGATTAGTATCTAATTTAGCCAATTATCTAGTATTGTAAGCTTGCCAATTATGTGAAATCAACAAGTAACGGAATTATTGAGATGCTATAAAAGTTCGCAAAAACTATCAAAAAAATAATATATATCAATTGCATTTAAAGTTCATAATTTAAAAATCAAAAGCAAAAACGGACTTGAAAAAAAAGTTATTTACGACGCGACAGGCAGTTGAATAGAGCAACACTTTTACAACGCACCTCTAAAAGAAATTATCTAAAGTAAACAACGAGTCCTGTTTATCCTGTAAATCAAAGGCAATCAAAAACTTTCGTCAACATTTCGTTGCAAAATAAATATACCATGTTAACAGGAGGTAACAAGACGACATTCAAACAAAGCTTTGAATATCATGGTATTTCAAAAGAAATTTGATGTCTTTCAGATACAACGGGACCCATCAGCGAGATTTACATGAACCCTAACAGACAGCAAGAAATATGGATACGTTTTCGAAAGGGGAGATGAACAATGCATTGCTTGGAATGTACGTTGGAACCCGGGGTCCAAAGACTCTACGAAAATGTATTACAGATAAATTGTTTACATATCAAATGTGGAAAAATGAGGAAACCATACGTGAAAATTTGGATCCTGAAATGGTTCTCCTGGTCTTTCCGGAAAGTAAACCCGTCCCTTCGTTGGATGAACTCGATGATCTCATAGTTCCAGATATAAGTTCGTTAGCATTTTCTTTGCCTAAAAGCGAGCAGGATATTTCAAAATTACGGAATCTAATTCAAGAGATATTGGAGGGTTCAATCTTTCGCAAATATCTGCAATCTAGAGAACAACAATTTCGTAGGAAGAATAACAAAATGAAATTGCTAAGCAGAATACAATTTGCTAAACTATATCCAACAAATGGTGAATCAAACATACATGAGCTGGATATCAGTCTGCTGTGCTTCGTTTTGTTCGAGGGAATGGGGTTTAGACCCATATCAGACTTTGACAAGCTCCCATCCCTAACTGTCGTAACTGAAGCTGATGACATGTTACGGATTAAAATATGCAGAAATGTTCTTGTTCATCAGGCAAATGCTGAAATGAATGATGAAGATTTTGATAAATATTGGGAATGTTTAACTGGCGCGTTCGAGCGATTACTTAATAACACGTTCGTTCGACGAGAAAGCGAAAGACTTAAGTCGTTGCGCCTTCCAGATGAAAAAATAGAACAGTTTAGAACCATGATAGAAGAATGGCGAAGGGATGAACAGGACGAGAGGAAAGAAAATCTAGAACTAATGAAAGACATCATGACACGCACAAGTGTACATACCAACAGTGTCATCAAAGCCACAGGAATGCAAATTGTAGACAATCAGATCAAACAGCACGAGGAATTGGTGAAATTATTCAAGAAAAGCAGTTCAAAACGACGCAAAGGTAGGAAATAATCCTAATGGTTGTATGCATCTAATATCATATGTTCTATAGCTACAACAGACATGATAAAAACATGTAACGAGGACAATCTGGGATGCTCTTCTGCCACGTAATGCTGAAGACACTTGAAGGTCAGCTGCATATACAAATGTAGGTTATTATTTTTAACATAAAAAGGACGAGCTCATAGAACATTTTGGGGTCGACGTGAGAATTTTATTGCCTACCCTTTGTTAGGACTGTTTGGCCGGATTAAATTGTTTGTATATTTATAAAGAATACAACTGATACATTGTGTATCCTGTAAAATACAATTTCTCATGAAATGGTCGTAAAATGGCCCGAATTGGCACCCCATCGTTGACAATACTAACTTTATTATGGTCCATTTTTAATTAATGTTTTTTTTTGAAAAGTGCTATTACTTATCAATTTTGCAGTTCAAAACAAAGACCTTAAGAAGTCGTTTCCCTTACGGGTTCATGGTTATGACAAATTCAAACAGTTGTGTCATATAATGCAAGAAGCTGGTATAAAGTACACTGTTCCTACGGCCTCCAGTACTGACACAGCACTAACCAGTGACAGCTCATCTAGTCTCAAGGATCGTGGAGTTCTTCAGTTCGAAGTAGACAGTGAAGATGCCGTTGACAACCTCTCTCATAACTTTCGTCGGTCTAGGAGTTTACCGCGATATAGACCGAAAAAGCCTAATGATAATGTTTGGATAGTCACTGATACAACACACAACAATCTAAATAGCTCTCTAGATAGTGTAACAAATGTCGACAAGGTAAATATCAAAAACAACCCATAACTCCATATTTCGTTTTTGTGTGGCTATTTGAATATGAATACTGTATATACTATGTTATATAACTTGATATCTTTGTCAAACAAATGGCCAACACCAAATTTAGAAAGATATCCTAAATACTATTGAGCATCGCAGATCGTGAATCTTTAATAAGTTTGTGAACAGTATACTATAAAACCATATTGAGTGACACCGTCATGTGTTAACGTTTTGTATTCGGCGAGATCGTAAAACAAATTTTAAGAATAGTCAGACACATTTTTCCATTCCAGATGTATATTTTCATATCTATTAATTGTCTTGTAACCCAGGAATCAAGCAACAGACAAGCTAGGCAGTGTAAACGACGTTCGAGTGAGCATGCTAGGAGTTCTCAGGAAAACAGATCGCCCAGGCCAGGAAACTCCATACGCATGGGTGTGAGGGTAATAATTATCTAAATACAGATAATAATAATAACAATGACGATTTTCCAATTAAATTTACTGTTCAAATGCACCATGCCTTCATAGAAACGAATGCGTCATAGATACATAATGATTTTGTTTGTTCTATTCTGGGAAAAATATTAATTATTGTCTTTTCTGTGTTGTATGTGTTGATAATCAGTGATGTCACTTAATTGTTAAATTGTTCTGGCTAGCAATATCAAAAGTGATAAAATTGCATAACCTGACACGAACAATGGTTTTGTTAGTTCTATTCTGAGAAAAAACATAGATTGTCGTCTTATCTGTGTTGTTTGTTTTGATCAAATGTGATCAAATTGCTTGACCTGAAACGAACATTAAAACAAGGTAAATTTCAATGAGCAAATTGCTGCATTGTATTGTTTGTACTGTAATCTTATCAACATGTATTCTAGTCATATCATCCAAGCTATACTTTTAAATGGAACAATGTCTATCTACCACAGGGGTGATTGTATGATAACCGCTTTTGATTGTAGTCTTTCAAGGAGAGAAAGTTGACTGTATGTAATCCGACATTTAGTGTAGAAGATGCAGATGTTGAACATGACAGTGCTGGTGAAGATTCGGCTATAGGACTCTATCCAACCACTGGTGCGCACGGACTTATTCCAAGACAATCTGACCAATGCAGGGTAAATGTTTGCTCCTTGTTTACGATATCATATCTGAGCATTTGTATGAATAAATATATGTCTGACACATTTTCACAATTCATATTCCAAAAATTGTAATTGAAATTCCATGCATATTTTACAGAACTTCTCTTAGTTTTCGTTTGTTTGTTTATCATAATGGACCTGTTACAAATGCATTGTTTACTACCACGACGTTATATTGATGATTCATTATTACTTTCTTCGTTTTACTTTACGTTTATAGGAAGGTGCTGAAGATATCGGTGATCCTACTGGATATTTCTTGTCTCTACAGAGACGAGATGAGTATATACACTCCAACACAGATACACACAATCCAGCACAAAAGGTTCTGGGGAACGTAGGTTATCTTTATTTTGGTCCACATATCTTTAACAGAAAATTACCTGCGAGTGTAAATTAATATGTTTCGCTCTTTAACACTTTTGCAATGGTTTGTTCGAACTGCACCATACGTGTTATTGCAGTAACATATTTCAGTGATTATCTGGAATAATCTCGAACACCAAATAAACTATTTCTACATTCTGATTCTAAACAGGTGGTCCATGTTGTTCAAACACGTACAAAATGCTCGCCAACAAACATATCTATGTCAAATCTGGAGAATGACGGTGATAGCACATCGCTCAGCGCGACGTCTGGGGAATACGTTTTGGGAGAAGAAAATGAGGAGCTGACTAATCATGTTTCAGTGACCAAAGATAAGGTCTATGAATGTCGATTTCATGTTTTATTTTTAATCATGAATGATGCAAGGGAGACAATCGATAAATTTGTCTTCACTAGGTTATCGTTATTTATACAATGACAATAAAGTAAAAGGTTTTGTTTTTGATGGACTTGTTTAGTATTTTCCATTACATTCTCCGTTATATTAATTCGTTAAGATAGATTTTTGCATGATTGATTAAGCCTTTCTGTGCGTTCTTGATAAAACCATCCGTCATATCGGGACACATTTCTATATATATTGTCAGACAATTATTACAGTAAATAACTTTTTCGGTTTGTGTTTGCCTTGGCATTACAATCGTTATCTTTTTGATAATACTTATTTCTATATCTTAAACAATATGAATATAGTTCACGAAAACAATCAATCTTTCAAAATTTAAATTTTAAGTCCTGTAGCTGACTAAATCTTATCATTCCTACTGACAATTCACACGTAAAAGATGTTAAAACAAGAAAGGATGTACTTGGAATAGCTTTCCATATTTCTTAACAGTAACAAAATAATATGGCAATTTACAAGTATAATATAGTATAGATTCGGATATGTTGATGATACCTCTTAATTCCTTTAAGTGTATGTTTTCTAAATATCTTTTCTTTAATACTTTTATTGTAAGATTTCAATTGATCTGATTCTAATTTAATAGTCAAGGTTGTCGTCTATCAAAAGTGGCATGTATAGCGAGGATTCTACTGGTTACAACACCGACCTATTAACACTTAATAGCTCAGTAGACGGTAATACGTCATCGGACACATTACTCTTCCATCCGGTTAGACTACCCAAAGCTCACAGGTCACCTGGTCTAAACGAGGGATGGACACCATGGATGGCAGAAAATGGAGAGCAAATATATCGCAGCTCAGTTACAGTACGTATACCACTCTTTGACAGATAATTCATCAGGAATGGGCAAACAAACGAAAAGACACCTTTGCGTTATGTTTTTCTAATAATATAATTAATCTAAAAACATTTAAGTTATATTGCAAACTTATTTGACATGGACACATAAAATAAGAAAATATCAACACGTCAACATAATCATGATTCAAACTCAAATTCAAGAAAACTAGGGTAAAATAAGAACAAATAAAATGTTTACACGAAGACTCGTGAGCAAAAAATATATATGTATAATAAGACAAGGTGTTCAGGTCTTCTGGTTCATCGACGACACCTGCCAATATATATCCAGGTAGATAATGTCAAGTTCTCAAGCGAGAACAAGCTATATGACAATGGAACCATCAGACAGATTAAGGAGCGCCAAACATATCGCTCAAAGGAATAACATATTTATCGATGAAATCAATATGGCGATCATGTAACTACCCCAACATGTCCATCAATCTGCATCTTTTGAAAAAATGCATTACGAGTTTGTCCGTCAGTGGACCATTGAATCGTGAATATGGTAACAGGCATAGCAGGGAAACTGAAATCATCATGCTTATCATACCGCTTCTCGGAAAGATGTCCTTGATGGTTGCGCTTAAGGAAAAGATCGAGATAACTGGTTCATTTAGAAGGGCATACATGCAATGATTAAGACCACAATAGAAATACATCCTGGGTTATTCGTTTTCATTTTTCTTATAAATATCAGGTTACACAATGTCGTTTATTTTCGTCTCTATATTTGTTAAAGCCCCGATCCATTCCGAATACCACAGACGACGGATACGCCTCCAATAGTTACTTAAGTTCTTTGGACAGGAACTTAATGGCAACGCAAGATCAATACGGAACTGGTTTTCAGGAAAATGTCAATGATAATGCAGAAATGTCCTTCAAAGAAAGAGAGGTAAGTTGATTAAGTCTAATATCAAATATATGTACCTAGGGAAGATAATTTTGGTAGAAAGAACATAAATACAGGATGTTGAATCACAACGATTCGAGTTGTTATGGAATGAAATGCAACGGGATTTCAAATACGCGAAAATACATTTATTCTGTGAATGTAATTAATTCGTTAAACAACACTGTCATATCCAGTTCTTAATAAAATAGTGATTTATAATGCTTCTAGTATGTAACTAAATAATGCGAAAGTTGTTAAAGAATGACGAGTTATATAAAAAAAATCATACCACTTTCTGAAACAGAAAGATGATACAAACAGTCATGGCATGGGGTCAGTCACGAGCTCACAAGCCCCTGAAGCTGAAACATTGCTGAAGTTGCCAAGCAGAAAGACACGAAAAGGTTTTTCTATCCGAAATTGCTTCAAGCGTTGTATATTATGTGGGGTGAGTATGATTGCAGAGGAATGTTTTATAACGCTAACTTGACTTTTGTTATATCAATGAAAATAACAATTTTGTACCATCGTAACCATGCCAACCGGAAAAATGTATCTAATCAACCACTTTGTTTCATATAATGTTTTATCATAAGAACAGTGTTTTCGTGAAATCAATATTTATGACGAAATTCAATATTAAGATATTAATTTAAAATATATCCATTTTGTAACTTCATTTCATAAATCTAAACAGATATTCTTTAGTTAAACACTTTTGGTCATAATGGCGTAACTTATTAGAAAGGGGAGAAAATCGATATAAATCCTCATCAAATAATACACACAAGTTTTACCTAAATGTTAATTGTGGTCGGCTTATACTTAAAAAGTTTCTTAATTACTATGAAATCCTAGGGCAAAGGACCTGAAGGGGACCAGGAAAGTCAAGTTGTAAAGAAAGATCATTACCGAAAGAGAAGAGAGTCTGAACGTTGTCTTTTGAGGTAATGAAATAATGTGCTAATATCATTAAAATTATCTATTGACAGCGGTATCTTGAAGAAACCATATATGATGTGAATGTTTTCGTTCTCCTACGTACTAGGCGAACCAGAGGATCTCTACTGCTACTTTCTCTTATGTTAATGCTGTTAGAACATGTTGATAATAATAGTGAAACATTTCTCGGTAAATTTCATCGCACGTTATGCATTTCTGTCAAACGCAAATATTTCATATTTCTACACATAATTATACATTTGGAAACTGCAACTTCAAACTGCAATTCTTAAATGATAAAGGAAATACATAATTATGAAAAACCGGGAACAAAACAAAATCAACATTTTAGTATCTTTAAAAAACTTTATCTTATCACCTTAAGATTTTCCTGGCTACAAGTAGGTTAAAAAGATTGTAGTCATACAAGTAAGTCAGTTTAGGTTGTATATTCATGCCTTTTAAACACTTTCATTAGAACTTCAATATGATTGGTAATCTTTATACATATATTATTTGTTTATTATATACATGTATACGAACAAACAGGACACTTGGTCACGGAAGAAAGAAGTTGCAAATGTGAATTATCTCTTCGACCAAAATTTGGGAAACACTTATGATAACTATTATCAATATCTCCACATTGTCTACGTATACCCAAACCGGCTTATCACAGCTGGTATAAATAGGTCATTACTTCATGAAGTGGATATATTAAATAATATAGAATAAAAAGTAACAACTGATTGTAACGACTTCGTGCTTATATTACTATTTTAAAAACAACCGTGTATGATTACAATTTTTTTCTTGTCAGTTCCCGTGATTCAAACGACTTTACTGCGACATCAAGACGGATCAATTCGGTTCAATTATCGGAAGTGCAGATTTCGGACAGAGGTTTAAGAATCAACCTAAGTGATTCTTCTATAGAAGATGAACTGGAGGAAATATTTGTATGACAATAGATATACTAAGGTTCAGGAAACCCTGATATCCTAGTGCAATTTTAAATGTATGCAGTATTTATTATTGGATACAATAAATGGTCTGTCCATGTATCATTGATATGTGGTTGTTTTTCTTCTTTCACGCTAAATCAGCGTAAATATTTTGATAAAATCAACAACAACATCTAAAAGACTAAATCATACTTAAATTTTAAAAACGATGAAACGAACGAAACATTAAAATCAAAGGTAGCGTAAGACCACGTTTTCTAGAAATGTAACCGGTTATTGCTTCATCGCGGAATTTAGCCTTTCAACGTAGGTCAACCCATGTAAAAGTCACATTCTCAAATGATACCAAAGTAGACAAAATAAAGGAAATCACAATGTATGCTATGGATCGTCGAACCTACTTAAATTCCTATCGCGTAAAAAATAGATTGTTACTATTGCAAAATGTTATCTTTTAAATGCGAATACTGAAAAAATGAATAAATTAAACTAAGTAAAGGAAGTACTTCTCTGACGGTTGATCGGATGCAAGATATAATTCAATATAAAATAAATTCCAACACAACATTTGGAAATCCTGGGTATATTTAAACTACATTTTGCATGAATTATCGCCACAAACCACAGATTTCCAATTCGTGAATTCAGACTTGGTGGACCAATTTCCTGCATTTTTGGACTCAAAAAGAAATATTTCATCTTCTAGATCTTTGAAAAAACTAGCTCATTGGATGAAAATTGTAAACAAAATAAAACACGGCGACCTCTTTTTAAATTATGAAGGTATTCTCGAAAATTTTCCCATCCAAACATAAGTCTTAAACAAGTTTTCTGCTACAATATGATCAAATAAAGCTCGTTAAATCAAATAAAACTTAGCATTTTTTCTTCATATCAGATTATCGTACTCTTTCCATGTAATGAAATCAGAAAACTTATTTGAGAAAGAGTTGTCTCGAAAATAACGGAGAATGTCTGCTATTTAGGAAAATGAATGTGACAATTCTACACATATTCTGACGCTTGTACCGGAGAAAGTAGTGTGACATCATATGTTTTGTTTTGCTTTTAAGTCTTAAGTTTAAACGTATAATGTATTCTGACTGGATATACAGACACGTAGTTGGAAATCACTATTTGCATTCCTGTTCCAAGTCACGTTTTTCTTTCTTTTTTTTTTTTTTTGTTACGACTGGGGACTATAGATAGATTTCATTGGGTCACAAATTCCTACTGTCATCAAAAGCTTAAAGAAAAGTTTTTTTTAAAAAAATGCACAGTGAAATATTTGAATAAGTCAAGTAAACTGTAACATATTTATCATTTGTTTGTAATATATATGTTTTATGAATATTTTGAATGAAGAGGGCATGTCAATATCTCGACATTATCATGCACTATCATGTACTACCCGCAAACATCCTTACCATAGCTGGTGTATATAGGTCATTACGTCATGAAGTGAATATATTGAATAGGGCTTAGGAATGTTCTAAGTACATCACGACTTCACGGATACTATACATTTGTTTTGTTCGATGGCATATTTTTAGACATAGATATGTCTGGTTTTAGAGACACGTGATTGGAAATCCCCTATTTGCAGTCTCGGTCCAGGGAGTGTTTATTGTTAATGGCGGAGACTATAGACAGATCTCCAAAATTAACTTTAACAAACTTTTGATTCGTGTAAATAAGGAATAATAACAAACAGAATTGACTATCAATTCCTGATACTCATTCTGCAACACTTCAGTAAATGGTGTAATAAGGTAAGTCATAACATCTCTACAACAAGTCGGGAATGGGTAATACTTATATGTTCATATGCTGAATGGACTGAGATCCTACAATAGCATAATGTAACTAATATAAGTACATTCACTTTGAATATCATATTCACATGTCTTATATTTCTAGTTCTTCATTTAACCTTATTTAAACACGCTTGATATACTGAATTAAATTGACGTGAATATATTGAATAGGGCTTAGGAATGTTCTTAATTGCATCACGAGTTCACTGATACTATGTTTGATTTGTTCGATGGCTGATATGCCTGGGTTTAGAGACACGTGATTGGAAATTCCTGATACTCATTCTGCAACACTTCAGTAACTGTTGTCTTAAGGTAAGTCATAAATTTTCTACAACAATTCGGGAATGGGTAATACTTATATATTAATATGCTGAATGGACTGAGATCCTACAATGATAACATAATGTTACTAATATAAGTACATTCACTTTGAATATCATACTCAAATGTCTTATATTTCTAGAACAGTATATATAGTAGATTAGACACAGATTAGTAACCGAACAGTACGATTCGTCCTTGAAGGTCGGTTGACCATGACATGTGACTGTTGTGTTCCCTTGTTGCTTATTTATAATTATGAAAATTTACCAATTTTTGGGGTTATTTTTCAGAATATAGAGCTGCATATACGACAACAATTTATCTGGTGTCAAAGCCATCACTAAGGAGAATTAACCTTGTTTACATCTATAAGGAAAGCCAAGAGAGCAACATATTTTTATAAACATTCGATTCAATGATGTCAGTTGATATTCAGTCTCCTATATAGCTTCAAACAATTAAGCATCACTGACGAGACGTAGAATAACAAAACAATCGTATGGGCCATATGTGAGAGGTGAATTGTTTGTGAACCGCGTGTTGGTCATGTGTGAGGGGCGAAATGTTAGTGAACCGTGTGTGGGCGATATGTTAGAGGCGAAATGCTATTGAACCGTGTGTGGGCGCTATGGTTAAGGGGAAAAGTTTCTGCACGCTGTATAGATAACTTTTTTTAGATAAATTCTGATTTCGTATTTCGGTAAGTAAAAATATTATGTATGCTGTCCCAGCAATGAAGGACACCCGATCGATCTTTTGTCAAAGTTACCACATATTCATACATAGACAAGCAACACGTAGCGGAATTATTGAGATGCTATAAAAGTTCGCAAAAAGTATTAAAAAATAATATATATCAATTGCATTTAAAGTTCATAATTTAAAAATCAAAAGCAAAAGCGGACTTGAAAAAAGTTATTTACGACACAACAGGCCATTGAACAGAGCAACACTTTTACAACGCACCTCTAAAAGAAATTATCTAAAGTAAACAACGAGTCCTGTTAATCCTGTAAATCAAAGGCAATCAAAAGCTTTCGTCAACATTTCGTTGCAAAATAAATATATCATGTTAACAGGGGTTAACAAGACGACATTCAAACAAAGCTTTGGATATCATGGTATGTTAAAAGAAATTTGATGTCTTTCAGATACAACGGGACCTAGCAACGAGATTTACATAAACCCTAACAGACAGTAAGAAATATGGATATGTTTTCGAAAGGGGAGATGAATAATGCATTGCTTGGAATGTACGTTGGAACCCGGGGTCCAAAAACACTACGAAAATGTATTACAGATAAATTGTTTACATATCAAATGTGGAAAAATGAGGAAACCATACGTAAGAATTTGGATCCTGAAATGGTTCTCCTGGTCTTTCCGGAAAGTATTCCCGTCTCTTCTTTGGATGAACTCGATGATCTCATAGTTCCAGATATTAGTTCGTTAGCATTTTCTTTGCCTAAAAGCGAGCAGGATATTTCAAAATTACGGAATCAAATTCAAGGGATATTGGAGGGTTCAATCTTTCGCAAGTATCTGCAATCTAGAGAACAACAATTTCGAAGAAAGAATAACAAAATGAAATTGCTAAGCAGAATACAATTTGCTAAACTATATCCAACAAATGGTGAATCAAACATACATGAGCTGGATATCAGTCTGCTCTGCTTCGTTTTGTTCGAGGGAATGGGGTTTAGGCCCATATCAGACTTTGACAAGCTCCCATCCCTAACTGTCGTAACTGAAGCTGATGACATGTTACGGATTAAAATATGCAGGAATGTTCTTGTTCATCAGGCAAATGCTGAAATGAATGATGAAGATTTTGATAAATATTGGGAATGTTTAACTGGCGCGTTCGAGCGATTACTTAAGAACACGTCCATTCGACGAGAAAGCGAAAGACTTAAGTCGTTGCGCCTTCCAGATGAAAAAATAGAACAGTTTAAAACCACGATAGAAGAATGGCGAAGGGATGAACAGGACGAGAGGAAGGAACATCTAGAACAAATGAAAGACATCGTGACACGCACAAGTGTACATACCAACAGTGTCATCCAAGCCACAGGAACGCAAATCATAGACAATCAGATCAAACAGCACGAGAAATTGGTGAAATTACTCAAGAAAAGCAGGTCAAAACAACGTAAAGGTAGGGAATAATCCCGTCATGGCTGTATGCATCTAATATCATATGTTCGATAGCTACAACTGACATGATAAAAGCATGTAACGAGGACAATCTGGGATGCTCTTCTGCCACGTAATGCTGAAGACACTTGAAGGTCAGCTGCATATACAAATGTAGGTTATTATTTTTAACATAAAAAGGACGAGCTCATAGAACATTTTGGGGTCGACGTGAGAATTTTATTGCCTACCCTTTGTTAGGACTGTTTGGCCGGATTGAATTGTTTGTATATTTATAAAGAATACAACTGATACATTGTGTATCCTGTAAAATACAATTTCTCATGAAATGGTCGTAAAATGGCCCGAATTGGCACCCCATCGTTGACAATACTAACTTTATTATGGTCCATTTTTAATTAATGTTTTTTTTTGAAAAGTGCTATTACTTATCAATTTTGCAGTTCAAAACAAAGACCTTAAGAAGTCGTTTCCCTTACGGGTTCATGGTTATGACAAATTCAAACAGTTGTGCCATATAATGCAAGAAGCTGGTATAAAATACAGTGTTCCTACGGCCTCCAGTACTGACACAGCACTAACCAGCGACAGCTCATCTAGTCTCAAGGATCGTGGAGTTCTTCATTTCGAAGTAGACAGTGAAGATGCTGTTGACAACCTCTCTCTTAACTTTCGTCGGTCTAGGAGTTTACCGCGATA